CCCCAATCACTTCTCCCTCCTTCACACACCCCAGCACCCCGACAACCCCCCCCACATCACCTCCTCCCCACAACACGCACCCCAGCCTACCCAGATCACCAGGTCCAGTTCTTCTGCAGAAGCCTCAAAGAAGTTTGTCTCTGTCCGGTCTCCATATGAGAGTGCCGTGACAAGGGGATTCTGTCCTATATCCCCTGGAGGACCACTGCCATCAGTGGTCCCTGAAACATACACTTGCCACCCGGACAAGAAAATCAAACTGGCAATTTCTCAATCACTTTCGTGCTATCAAAAGAAACTCACTCCCTGAACACTGGCTGAAGAGTACAGCCTCGAACCACAGGAAAGAGAATGGCATCTAACCTAATCCTACCCTAGTCCGGCCTGTGACCTAAGCCGGAAAGGAAGAGTGCACGGCCCATCACCCAGGCGAGTGCTTATGGAGCCCACCCTTGTGGAGGCTGCCCCTCTTGTGTTAAGCCTCTTCCCCAGTGCACCCCCCGCCCTGCCCCAGAGTGGGCTCTTCCCCCACAGAGCCCGCCTTCTGTAGCCTCCTCTCTTCATCCAAACAAGTGCTGAGGGCACATTTGTCCTAACAAGGAGAAGCAACTGACCCCGCCTCGCCCGGGGTGCAGCATCGTGCTGTGAAGGGGCGCTCCTTGCTGACTAGCCGGGGGGCCTTGCTGCCTGGGGAGGGGACAGCTGGTGGCGCAGCTGGCGGCATGGCCTTCCCTCTGTGGATGGTAATGGGCTTCTTTGATTTCCAGACTCCCAGACATGGCCGTGAATTGAAAAGTGCTCCCAGGCCACGGGGTCAAAGAGAGTGGGCCCAAGGGCTCTAGCGGCTCCTTCATCACCAGATGCTGCCCTGCTGCCAGGGGGCACCCAGGGACAGGCCCCGCAGGCGGTCGTGCTGTGCCCCTGCCAGCACGGGGAGCTGGGGGTCTCTGAGCCAACACAAGCTAATTCAAGATCAGCCTCTGACCTTTCAGCTCTTCTCACCGCAGTTCTGGGAAAGAAATCTCAACTGAAAGAATTCCCCAGAGTTTTGGAGAAGGGTGTCGCATTGGTTTCAGAACCAGCCCGATCCCTTCCAATATATTCTGTTCTTCAGAGAAAAGAGTGAAATTGTGACACAACAGGAACCCATTCCTTCCGGGTGCCACTGTGGGGTCAGGCACTGAATGGCACACCCAGGTCTGGAAGCTACTTCCAGCAGAAGCTACTTCCCTTGGGAAGCCAGGACCTGGGCTCCATGGACGGGGGTTCCTGTCGTCGGGAGGCAGAGGGGTCCGAGGGGCAGAAGGGAGAACAGGGAAGCAGGCTCAGAGCCAGACCCAGTTCGGAGCTGGAATTGTGATGGCAGCAGGCAGGGTCACTGAGCAGAGGCGGTGGAGGGGACAGAGCTGCCCCCTCGTCACAAGGCAGCCACGGGGAACCACACACCCCTGCCACCTTCAGGGGTTTCTGGATCCACCCGCCGCCCTGCCCGGTGCCCCTGCTGGCTACAGCGTGGAGCTGCCCATTGCACCCTCGGTCAGCCTCCCCTCTGCCTTCCCAGGGGCTTCCCTCACGGAGGGCCCTGTCCTGGGCCTGCCATCCCCACCATCTAGGTCCTTCCACATCTGCCTGCTGACCTCCTCAAAGGTCCCAGATCCACACTCCCCTCTACCTACCATCCCAGCTTCTCTCCTCCTTACCGAACACCCTGCAAGAGCGATCTACTCCGGCTCTCAAAGCGGGAGCAGCAGCGGCGCTGAGGCTTTGACGGGCATCAGATTCTTAGCCCCAACCCCCCACTTCGATACCCCAATTACTGACTCAGGAGCCCTGGGGGTGGGCCCGGCCATTAGGATTTGATTATCAAGTTCCCCAGGGGGGGACCCACTGGTGTCTGAAAACCACAGCCACACCTGCGCTCCCCTGTGCATGTGCCGTTCACTCCTTTACCTGACGTGGTCCAGCCCTGCCCTCCATCCCATCAAAGCTGCTCTGCCAAGGTCACCAGCAGCCCCTCCACAGTAAGCCACGTGGCCCTGGGGGTTAGCTTCTGGACAGCACTGGGCCCACTGCTTCCTTCCGGAACTGCTGGTTTTGGCAAATCCAGGCTCCTGGGAGCCTGCCTAGTGCCCTGTAACCTGTCGTGTGTGGGGGTGCCATCGCCACCTGCAATGGTGTCGTTCTGTGGGGCTCTCTCTCTGTCATTTCCCAGGCTCCAGTGACAGCGGCAGCTAACTCTGATCACTCTGAACTACAGCTCCTGTCATCTGCTGGACACTCACTCAGAATTCAACCCACCACACCCAGACGGGTCACCACCCACGCACACTCATCTGACACTCTTTACGGACGACCTTCCGTTTGGGGGATACGCTGTGCCTGTCCTTCTTCCTTCTGAGCCTTTGCACAGGCTGTTCCCTCTCTCAGGAGCCCTTCCAGCCCCACTCCCTACACCTCACCTGCCTGATGCCCACCCAGCCTGACCTCCCAGACCCTCCGTGGACCCCCAAATTGGGCCTGATGTCATGGCAGGTACCCCACAGTGCACTGGGCTCCCCTCGCAGTGCTGATGAAACTCTTATCACAGCCAACTGTCTCCACTGATAACACTGATTTGAATTATTTTTATCATAAACAGAAAACTAAACAACATTGGGAAGGCAGAGGTCCCAGCTCAGCTTTATAAAAACATCTAAGAACATCTCCGTTACTGCAAGTTCAGGAATGGGATTTCAGGGCCATGCCCGCCTCCTCACTAAAGGATCCCTCCCCACAGGCAGCCCCACACATCTGCTTCTAGTATCCACAGTAAAAAGGGGGTCCTGGCCAGGGCTCAGGGGTCACTGGCTGCAGCCTGCCTAGCCGCTCTAGGCATTTCAGGGTGGCTGCTCGGGGACTGTCTGCTTGTGTGAGGATGCACTGGGGGCTCATGGCCAGCCGGAAGCTGAGCTGGCCCACCACAAGCCACCCTGAAGGAGGTCCCTGTGGTATATATGAGTCCCCAGGTGCGTGGTGCCTTACAGCGTCTGAATGTGCTGTCCATGTTTCCACAGGGCACGGGGCAGTCGCATCTCCTCCTGTCCTAAGCCCACCCTGCCTGCAATGGTGACCAGTCCTTGCGGGTGTGACCGTCAGCAGGGCTTGTGAGCTTCTTCAGCCAACATGGAAACTGCTGCTCCACCCACAGGGGCTCCTCAGGGCCAGCGCTGCCTTGGTCACTGGTTGGGACAGGGACCAGCATTGCCACCTGGCTTGTGTGCACATGGGCTCTCGGGATCTCAAAGTGACAGTGATATATCATGGATGATATCCTAAAATATGTTTTCCAGTCGCTTGCTTTCTCTCCCTGTATTTCAGGGACACCAGCGAGCTGTCGATTTGGTCTATTTACATAACCCCATATTCCTTGGAGGGTGGGTCCCTGGAGGGTCCCTTGCACTATGGGCCACGTGACTTTTCCAGATGTCCCCATCTCTCTGCCCTGGCTAGCAGCATTCCACACTGAGTCATGACAACAGCGATGAGGAGGAGGAAAACAATACCCCAAAAGGGTGACTGACTTTTGCTGAACTCAGATCTTACTATGTTCCAACTCCTGTTGGTTCCATTACAGACAACATCCCATTTCATCCCATAACCTTGGTACTATTATGATCCCCATTTTACAGATGAGGAAACTGAGGCTCCACGAACACACTGCCTGTCGTGTCAGGCACCATGAGGCTGCGGGAGTGCCTGGCATGCCCAGCTCAGAGAAGGCCGGAAGGACCTGGCGGCTGAGGCACTTCCCTGGCCTGAAACATCTCAGCCTCAGGCCGGACCAGGGATCCAGGGCCGCTTTCTCCCCTCCCCAGAGGGTGGTGATGGCAGTGCGGGATCAAGACAGGCTGGGGCGCCCTGGGTACTTGGTCCATGGACCCAGTTCCACTCCTGGGGGCTCTCCCCTCGGGTCAGGAGCTGTCCCAGGTCCTTCTGCCCGGATCCCAGACCACCCACCAGCACGAAGCTCAGATGCGCCTGGGTTGTGACTCGTGCCTGCAGACATGGAACTGGGGAGCCAAGGGGAAAAGCATCAACCCTGGGTGCCCCAGGCCCAGGCTGGCGTCCCTGCAGGTGCCACTCTCTGAGCCTGTGGCCTCATCTACAGCACAGGACTAATAAGACCAACATCCCACAGGTTTGCTGAAAGGCTTCGAGAGAGACGCATGCGTCTCGGGGCCTCGGCACAGGGTGCTCATGGGTGTTCACTCCACAGCCAGCTCGGACCTGGCGCGGTGTGAGGTGCCTTCCAAGGGCTGGCCGGGACAGTGTCCGTACCATTCCATGGGAACTGGCCTTGTCTGGGGCCCTGGGCCTCACCTGGCTGGGAGGAGGCTGGCCCACCACCGCCTCATAGGGAGGGGGGAGCTCAGCAGGATACAGCAGGCCAGGGCTGTTGATGGCCTCGTCATACAAAGTGCTGAATGGAGACGGAGCAAAGTCCAGGTGGAGGCCCCTGAAAAAGACAGAACCATCACATCGTCATCGCCCGAAGGAGGTGGCAGAAGTGCTGACAGCTCTCAAAGCAGCCAGAGCAGGGGCGGCCAGGGCTTCCCCTCTCCTAATACTTCCCATCATTGTGAAATGAAAGCTTCAGTCACTGGGCGATTTACACTTTTGGTTTTTTTTCTGGAATGACATCAACATTTTCAATCAACTGTACTGACCTGTCCATTAAAATTCAAATCATCATACAGCCAATGACATCTTTCATTAAACTGCACGTTACACAAATGACTGTAACGTGACCGCAGCTTTGCACGTCATGAGAACGTAAGGCAGCGACACCTGTCTGCCTCCGGTTTCTTTTGGGTTGCATTGCAAAGGTGCCACGGGGAATGTTCTATGTCCAAGACCCTCTCCTTCCACTGCCCCTCCTCTGTTCTCACCGCCATGCCTGCAGGACCACCGCAACTCCCACCTCCCAGACACTGCTGCCGATCTCGGTGGTTTCGAGATGTCGGCAGCCAGGGAGACCAACCTCTGGGCCTCGGCGGACGGTGTGCAGGTATACTCTGGCGGGTAATAGGGTGGAGGCGGGAGTGGGGGGATGAACTCATCGAAATCCAGGGTCTGGTGGAGAACGGTGCCATGAGGAGTCACGCAGGCGGGGTTGGCCGGATGTGACCTCTGCGGAAGGAACTGGAAAACAGAGACAACCAGAGTTATCTGGGACATCTTGTGTGGCTTGTGTCTCATTAAGGTAATTATATGCGAGCTTTAATGATCAGTTTGGAATGCCTATAATTTCAGCTGTCAAGTCACAACTGCTAAGCGCACACTTTAAAACGGAGGCTCCAGGAGGAACGCCTCGCCTCAGTAGTCTCAAAATGCTTTGTTGCCCACGCTGTCATACAGAACGCCTCTTTTTAAAGAAAAAATATGGTCCGGGAAGTCTTTCATGCTGTCCCTGCCGCTCCACCTGCCGCTCTGATGACAGTACTCAGAGACTGCAGTCCAAAGGCTGCCTGACGTTCGTGGTTTAAGATGACACTTCGGCTGGGTGTGGTGGTTCACGCCTGTGATCCCAGCACTTTGTGAGGCTGAGGCGGGTGGATCACCTGTGGTCAGGAGTTCGAGACCAGCTTGGTCAACATGGCAAAACCCCGTCTCTAGTGAAAATACAAAAAAATTAGCTGGGTGTGGTGGCGCATGCCTGTAATCCCAGCTACTTGTGAGGCTGAGGCAGGATAATTGCTTGAACCCGGGAGGTGGAGGTGGCAGTGAGCTGAGATTGTGCCATTGCACTCCAACCTGGGCAACAGAGTGAGACTCTGTCTCAAAAAACAACAATAAAAAAACACGGCATTTCTGGAAGTGTGTTCATGAGAAAACACTAGACTCTCCCCTTGAGATGGCCCCACCCCACTCCCAGAATTCCTGTGGTGAATCTGTGGGAAATGCCACATGCTCCCTTCTTGGAGTCCTGCATTGTGTATTCACGTATTAAAGTCTCTGAGAAGGGCTGTGCTGAAATACTCCTTTAGCTGTTTAATACTTTAACCCAGCATTTCTCAAATATTTCCTAATGGGCCCCATTGGACACAGAGTATCTATTAATATTTTGCACTTCTCAGGATTTCACACAGTTTGTAAAGCACTGCTCTGAGGAAAGAGAGACAACTTCATGAGTTCCAGAACATTCTATGGGCCAACCTTGAACACTGAGATGTTGCTTTAACAGCGAGGTGAAATCACTTTAACAAAAATGAAACCCATTTCTGCCTAGTTTTCCACTTCTGAAGGACTAACCAACAGCCAACTGCTTTCTTTCCACCTTCACGTCTCTGCTGCCCAGAGGCCACCTGTGGCGTGAGATGCCTGGGATATTGTTCCAGCTCCAGTCAATGCCGCCCTGTGAGGGTCTACACGGCAAAAAGATACATGCTGCAAACGCTCTGGGCCAGGGGCCCTCCTGGCGCAGGGCAGATGAGGTAAGGAGAGGAAGGGTGAGTGTGTGTGTGTGTTTGTGTGTATGCATGTGTATGTGTGTATGTGCATGTACGTATGTGTCTGTGGATGTGCGTTATGTGCATATGTGTGTGTGTATATATGTATGTGTCTGTATATATGTATGTGTGTATGTATGTCTATGTATGCATGTATGTGCATGTGTATGTATGCATGTATGTGCATGTGTATATGTATGTGTGTATGCGCATATGTGCACGTGTTTGTGTATGTATATGTATGTGCATGTATGTGTATGTGCATGTGGATGTGTGTGTATTTGTGTGTATAGGTGTATGTGTGTCTCTGTGTGTATGTGTATGTGTGTGTGTATGCGTGTGTGTGTATGTGTGTTGAGGGGAAGACAGGGACCCAGAATCACGCCACACAAGCAAGGACAGCTCCATTAGAAAACAGTGAGGTCTCCAAGCACTGTGTCGGGACTGCGGTCCCCAAAGCATTCATGAAGAAGGCATTTGAACGGGTCTTGAAAGATTGGTGGGATTTCATCTAGTGGGTGCGCAGGGAGACACTCAGGCTCCAGAACAGTTGAGCCAGGGAAGGATGTGTTTAAGAAAAGCAAATAGATAAGGCTCTGGAAGTCAATTCTTAATTCTGGGGCACTGGGGAGCTGGTAAGGGTGTTGGAGCCGGGGAGCAGGGGGACTGGAGCTGCGTGGTAGGAGGTGCCTTCTGGCAGCAGGGGTAGGGTGGGCTGGAGCTGACAGACGCCAGGACCTGCAGCACTTTTGCACTGGTAGGGGTGAGGTGACCATTCTGAATGGGGTCAAGCTCTGTGAAATAAGCATGCTCTAGGTTGACGGAGAAAGGCTGGTGGCCGTGTCTAAAGGTATAACACATCACAGGAAAATGGTCCCGTGGACCTCCTAACACACAGAGCACACTCCTCGCCTCTGGCTAGACCGACCCACGGCTGCGTGTGTTTAGCTGTCCGAAGCAGAGGTGAATCATTGGCTGTGAGCAGGGCGCCATGTGCATCTGTCGTCCTCTGCCTTGGAGGCTGTCAGTCCTGATGCCTGCTGCACAGAGCTGAGAGGTAGGGGCGAGGGCAAATGCCCTCAGGTCTAATCAGGAAATATTTTCAATTCGTCTCTATCAGAAATTAGAAAAAAAATCAATGACATACTCAAGCAAAACTAATGACATGCAGACACCAAAACACTTTCCAATTCAAGGCACCATTCCACCAGGAAGGAGAACAAGCATTTGAAGAGGGGCAGAGCTGCAAGGGACCCTCTCCGCAGGTGCAAGTTAGCAGAGGCTGCCACACACTGGAGGCTATGTGAAGGTCAAAGGACTGCATCTGCACTAAGCTCTGGGTCGCCTTGCCGGGGCGTGTTGGCCCCACCTTCCTGGACTCGTTTCCCAGGGATCCTTTGACCTTGACTCCTCAGCTTCCCCAGCCAGAATCCTGCAAGTGGCGCTTGACGTCTCCCCTCTCTTCCCCACCATCTGTGTGTGTTTAATTAGGTCTGGGTGTGTCTCCCGTCCCAGGGTCGCCAGCTCTGTCCTCTGCTCTGCAGGCTGGCGCTGGAGGTCTGCAGACTACGCTTCCCAGGCTACCGTGCCAGGGCTGCGGGCGGGCTCTGCCTGTAGGGGGCGCCAGAGGGCACCTGGCCGGCGGGCGGGGCGACGAGGGAGCTGCGGGTTTCCTGCGCCTTCCTACTTCTTCCCTTCTGTTCCCCGGCTTTGCGGGCTGAGAGCTGCTCTCTGCAGTTATTTCTCTCTCTGTAACCTCTTCTGTTCCTTCAGCCTTCCACACCCAAGTAACCGGCTCCCAGTAACTGTGTTGAAATCCTAAGGGCAATTTCTTTTCCTGGCCATCTGAGGCACATCTATTTTACCCCCCACCCCGTGTTCCCATCTCGCAGTCGCACACAGCGGGTACTCAGTAAACCTCTGCAGAGGAGACGGGCAGACGCCTCCTTGCGGGGCACCTCCACTCAGCCGCTGTCCACGTCCTCCTGGCAGGAGCTTCTAACCTGTGTGCCTCTCTACCTTGATTTTCTGTCTCTGTAATTTGGTCTCCATCCTGCTAGCAGAGCTGTTTTTAAATCAATCTGATGAGGTCACTGCAGTTGAAAAGACTTTAATGAGACCCTGGCTCTCGGAACTCCATCTGGTTTCCAGCTTCCTAACCAACTAGCGCCCCCAACCTCCCCGCTCCTTGAACAAACTTGCTGTAATGCCAACTATCAAACACGTATTGTTCCCTCTTCCCAGCTCCCTACCTTTCACCTGGCGCCTCCCAGTCACCTTCAGGACCCGCAGAAATGCCTGTGACCCTGAAAAGCCAGTGGGTAGCCACTCCTCCCCCACCCGGCCCAAGCTCCAGGCTCTGAAGCCTCGCCTGCATGTTTACTGCCAGGTATAAAGCTCAACTCTGCACCCAGAGGTGGAGGGCGGAAAAGGGGCTCTGAACAGTCCCTTCTTTCCCAGGTGGCTCTGCTTGCTCTGATCTGTGACTGCCTTCTCCGATCCACGTGGTGACAAAGGTACACCTGTGTCTGGTGCCCAGCTGGGGCTCACGCACCTGACATGAGCATAACTAGTGCCTAGGGCTGTCCCCGCACAACAGGAGTGAGGATTTGAGATCCTGCTGGACAAGAGCCCCTGCTCAGTCTGCTCTGGGGAGAGGGTATCCGAACCCAGGTGTGTCCTGTCCTTCCGGGTGCATGTGGAAGTGATGGAGGATGAGAACTAAGGCTACCTGGCCTTGGGCAGCGTCCCAAAGCCCACTTAACACAGAGCCCAGAACATTTCAGTCTATCCACGCAGCCCAGTCTGGGATCTGAGGGAGAGCGTGACGAGGTCAACCTGCCTGGGACGGGGAGTCAGACCTCAAGCCAGTTGTCTCTGGGCCCTGCACTGAGGGCCCACAGGATGTGAACACATTTCTGACCCTGTGAGTCTCAGTCCCCTTCCCTGAGAAGCACCACTGCTCAGTCACAGACCCAGACAGCAGCGCTGTGTGGCTTAAAGGCAGGCTTGGATCATCAGTATGAGTTCGTCCAGCCCATGCCTCCATCTCCTGCCATCGGGAACAGGGAGGGGCAGGGCAGGCGTCAGGGGTCTGTGGACAAGGGCTTGGGATCTCCAGGAACACTGTGGAGCTCTGAGCTGCCCGCTCCTCCAGGTTCCAGCCCGGTCTGCTCACCTCCCTTTATATTCAGTGGTTTCCTCCCCAGCACTCACTCTTCCTGCTCCCTCTACCAATGTCCTCGCCACATCCTGCCTCCTGAAGGGAGCACACACACCTCCGAGTTTTTCCAGAAAGACTCAGAATTACAGGGAAGGGACCTCTCCCTCTGCCTTCCTTAGACTTGGTAGAAACAACAGGCTTGTTACTACCAAAGTCTGCTGAATCAACTTCCTCCTGGACAGCCCTGCAGATGACTTGGAGCTCCCGCTCTGTGCTCCAGACCCTGGGGAGAGCCCGCCCTGCGGCTCCCTGGTCCTGCCGCCTCCCCCAGGTAGGTTCCATGCCCACCCAGGGCTCCAGGTGCCTTACTGCACAGGGTGAGGCCTGTGCTCATTATTACTGCGATTGCATAAGGAAAGAGGGATGCAGATAGGAAGAGCTGCTCGTTCTGTGAAAACCAAGTTGAATGCTTTGGAAAGACTCGATAAAGGAGGGCAGCCAAGCAGAAACCACTGCCAAGTCAAGTCCAG